AACATGCGATTAAAAACTTTTAAACGTGATAAAAAAATAACAAACATAATATAAAAAGAAATTCTATGATATAATTAATTTAAAACCTATAGAAAAAAAATCAATATGTTCATATACAAACAAAGGTTTAAAAATATATATATTTGAAAACTTCTACACTTTCTAAAATGTAAACTTATATATATATGATGTAATATAGTTAAGAAATTCAAAACTCCCGTCACTTTAAAAAGTTTAATTGGAACCAATATATAAAAGTTCATCATTTGGTTCAAATATATATATATATATATATATTTAGGCACACATATTTATAAGGTATAGAGAGGTAAAATTTTGGTTTAGAAAAGAAGATTAGAAAAAACAAAAAAAATTAACGGGCCTCAAGCCCGGTCCGAGACCCGACTGGCCCGGCCCGACCGGCCCGTAGCCCATTTGGCCCGAGGCCCGAAAGCCCGAAGTTTAATGAGCCTACATTTTTTAGGCCCATGTCCTTATAATTTTCGGGCGGGCTCGGGCCGGGTTTCGGGCTCCGGGCTTAATTGACATCCCTACATATCCGATATCGGTTTCACAGCTGGATTGTCGGTGGGCGACGAATGAAGGATTGACATATATGATTTAATATATTTATTCTTTAATCAGAGATCGTTTAGTGTGTTGATACAAAAGATACAAGAGAGAACGATAATTAATACGAATGTATAAGATTTGAATGTATCGATTAATAATTGGATATCATTTAAACCGTCTATAAAAGAAACACACTTGTGGATCCAAGATGAGTTATACCTTTGATTATGAAGACGAAGTAGTCCAAGAAGCCCAGCGAATGTCACGCGTTAGGTCGGCTGTTGCTTCCAAAGTTTCCTCTGACTTCGCGTCAAATGATCTCGACCGCGAATATTTGTCCACTTTTTGTCTTTTTGGTACAATATGATGATATTCTTTTGTTGAAACGTACGCGCGAAAGAAATGACTCTGTCAAACGGCGGAGTGTTCGAAGATGGATAGATGCTCATAAGTCCTCCATTGGTTACTTGACAGACACAGACTTGACTACTGATATTCCTAGTGAATCTTTTTTAGCTTATGGTTTTAATATTTTGATCGATTGTAATTCTCCCAATTTCATCCTCGTTTTTACTCTATTTTGGATGTAACTCAGTGTAATCGCCAACATATATATATATATATATATTGTGTTTGTGGGTTGGATTAAGCTCGAACAAAAAAGAGTTGTAATTCACCATATTTACAAGTGAATATAATCAGTGGGTTGTTGAAGAATGCGTATTCGTTTACTTTTTCAGGTAAGATACTAAATCTCGAAACAATCTGAAATTTTTTTTATTTGTCTCAGTTATTCGAAATATGAAATATGCAGGCTTTTTTGATGATTCAATTCGAAAACTGATGGATTATGTGGTTAGGGACTTGGCTAGGAGAAGATATGATACACGCCTTGGCTCGGAGAGGATGGAACAAGGCCGAATCACAGTCTCTCGCACTTCACAGAGAAGGCTCTCGAATTTGCATTCGGATTGTGGAAAAAACGAAGGGGAATTGGATGGATCTTAGTTTCAATCACCGGCTCTAAGAGGCTCTCGAATTCAAAACTAAGAAAGGGAAATGGAATGGATCGAAGGGGAAGCAAAGGATAGTAGACCTCAGACACATCAAGGCTTGAGTTCGGACACACCAAACTCATGATCTCGGACACACCGAAGATCGGGATAAATTTCGGACAAACCGAAGAAGAGTTTATAAAACTCGAAATGTTTGAGACATTATTCTAAATTGCGACGGAAAATTCCGTCGCAAGTTTCGTCGTTACGTGAAGGGTTTTTTTTGCAATAATGATGGTTTCATGTTTTTCCCTTTTGATTTGATTAAACTGCGCATTCATCATGTCTCTTCTGGTACGTTTCACACTTTTAGTTTCTTCATGAATCAACTCCAATGTTTTTCACGTCTCCTTGGCAATTTTGCGACCTTGAATCTGCTTAAACTCATATGGATCTATTGTGTTGAAGATTATAGTAAGAGCTTTGACATTTAGTGCTGAAGTTTTCTTCTCTTGCAGTGTCCACTAAGCACTCGGTTTGATGATCTCTTTCCAATCAGTGAACACTTTTGAAAATTCTTATCCTTCTTCCATAACATTCCAAGCATCTTCATCAATACTTTTGACCAGATTTATTATCTTCATTTTTCAATATCTATAGTTGCTCGAGTCGAATGATGGTGTCTTTCCTGGCGTTTGAAATTTCTTGAATGTATGCATTATGCGTCACGTAGCCTGCACTGATACGAGAAGAAATTATCTTACGACCGGTGACCGAGCTCTGATACCACTTGAAATAACTGATGCACTCAGATGCCACTCAATCGATTCTATTCATTTATAGGAATTTCGCATATACAACTTGTTTCTTTTGAAGTAGCAATGCGCACCACAATATTTTCCATGAGTGCTAGCCTCCTACATACCCAAGGTTCGTTATGTCGGATTTTACTCAATTCCCTCTCAGATATATATATATCTTACTTATAAAACAGAAACTTTCACCAACGCTTGCACTCGTTTTTCTACGATTTTTTTCTATTAAACTCTGTATTTCTCAGCCTTCATACTTCTTTTATATACATACGTCCATATCTATTCAGATTTATTATCACCTTATTGTTTATTTGTCTTTATCTTTTAACTACAAGGTTGTTAGTTCTTGATTGTCTTTATCTTTTATTTCTAAGGTTGTTATCTTTTCCACAAAATCAAATTTTGAGATTTTTTCTAGATTCCCTACATAAACCACCTTAATAGATATATTTTTATTTTTCAATTTTTATATATATATATATAATTTATCGTTTACCAAAAAAAACCGTCTATAAAAAAAGGTTGTACATATTCTAATCGTTAATAATTGACCCTTCACAAAAACTAGAAACCCTTATCCATATTCACATTAAAAAATAATAATAATGATTAAGGATGTCAAATTGACAAAATTTAAGGGAAAATAATTCCCAGAAAAGGACCATAAAACCCGTTGACTTCAAAAACTTTTCAATAAAACGTGCAAGCAACCCATAGCTTCTTCTCCGACTAAAGAAAGCCGCCATGAACACGTCGGAGCCACCGGACTCAGGCTGGCTGATGAACACCGGAAAAGTCGCCGGATTCGTATACGGAATCGGGATCTCCATCGGAATCCTCCTCCTCATCACCACAATCACCATCGCCTCCTACTACTGCACCCGCAACCGCCTCTCCGCCTCTCCCATGACCACGTCCAGGAACCGCCGCCGGAGACAGACCGAAGCCTCCGTGGAAGAGCCCTTCGACCGGTTTGACCTGACGGTGGGGCAGATGTCGTCGTCGGGTTTGAACGAGGATACGATCAAGAGCTTGCCGAAGCTTCCGTACGAGGAGGCGAGAGAGAGCTACACTGGAAAACGGGAGGGGAGTATTAGAACTACGACGCTGTCTTGTTCGATATGTCTTGCGGATTACAAGAGCAAAGACATGATTAGGGTTTTGCCTGACTGTCATCACCTGTTTCATGACAAGTGCGTTGACCCTTGGTTGTTGTTGAATCCTACGTGTCCTATTTGCCGGTCTTCTCCTTCACCGTCTCCGGTCGCCGGAGTTTTCCCTCGGGGATTAAACTGAGGAATGAGATCATTTTTTTTAAAATACGTACGGAGCAAAGAGAAGTTGTTTAAACATAGCAATGAATTGGTGTTGTTTTCTTCTATTAATAATGTTCATGTGTTCAAAAAAAAAAAAAAAAAAAAAAAAGGTGGGGCGTTATTACAATCAATTTTAATATTAAATTAAGTTCATTTTATTTTGTTTCAGTTTCGGTATAGATTCAAATTTTATTGATAAAACATTTTATTTTTTTGATAAATTTTCAATTTTTTATTTTATATCTAGTTCATTTTTTATATTTATACACGTTTGTATATGTATGTACGCATGTAATTTTACTTGTATTTTTTTAAATGTAATGTGGCCACGTCAGATTTTTTTATTTTCACGTCAGAGGCTAACGGCAATATTTAATACTGTTTGGGAGAAATCTTATGCCGACAAACTCACGCTAGAAAACTCACCTACGAAATCTCAACCGTTAATATCTATACAGAGGCCACTCATAAACGACGTCGTGATTTCTCGATATTCCTTGAGAATCCGCATTGAGTGAAACTCGCATTTTGTCCTTGTTCTTTGGCTTCCTCGATAATATTCATCTCCAACTCGAATTTGCTTCTTCTTTTTTGCTTCGAGAATCTATCGATTATGTAGAAGATCTCGATTTTCTCTGTTAAAAAAAAAAAAAAAAAAAAAACAAGGTGGGGCGTTATTACAATCAATTTTAATATTAAATTAAGTTCATTTTATTTTGTTTCAGTTTCGGTATAGATTCAAATTTTATTGATAAAACATTTTATTTTTTTGATAAATTTTCAATTTTTTATTTTATATCTAGTTCATTTTTTATATTTATACACGTTTGTATATGTATGTACGCATGTAATTTTACTTGTATTTTTTTAAATGTAATGTGGCCACGTCAGATTTTTTTATTTTCACGTCAGAGGCTAACGGCAATATTTAATACTGTTTGGGAGAAATCTTATGCCGACAAACTCACGCTAGAAAACTCACCTACGAAATCTCAACCGTTAATATCTATACAGAGGCCACTCATAAACGACGTCGTGATTTCTCGATATTCCTTGAGAATCCGCATTGAGTGAAACTCGCATTTTGTCCTTGTTCTTTGGCTTCCTCGATAATATTCATCTCCAACTCGAATTTGCTTCTTCTTTTTTGCTTCGAGAATCTATCGATTATGTAGAAGATCTCGATTTTCTCTTTCGCTGTGTCTTTTTGCCTCATCCCCATGATTGCCCAAGCCATCGATGTCCATTACTGCGGTAAATTTCGTCTGGTTCCCCGAGAATTTGATCGCTTTCGTTACGGTATTTGATCGATTTTAGCTACTGATAGGATGATGAATTGGGTTTTCGAGATAGTGGTTGATTATCTTGATTCTGCTCTGAAATCCGACGGATGGTTGAGAAAAATCACAGATTTCTTAAGCTTCAATGTCTGATACTTTGATTCAGCTCTGAGACACGATGGTTACGTTCCTAGTTGTTAATTGGAAGTGAAAACTGAAAAGGACTTCTTGTCTTTGAATATGTCTGGTTTTTGTTGCTGTTGATTGCAGATAACAACGCAGTCAAGGTGAAAAGGGTTGACATCTCGCCATATCCAATCGTTGCCTGCAACTTTCAGTATCTTCGCCATCACAGGTAGCTTCATCTTTTTACTTAGTACCCTTTTAACATTTTTGGCTAGAATCTATACGAATGCACAAAAGATCTTTGCTTGGTCGAGGCCCTTTTGATGATGTTTCATACCATGATATGATTGTATATGCAGTTGCTTTTTGTGTTTTCTTGTCTGAACTGTGTTGGATTCCTGTTTCGAGATCCGTGTTATTGGTCTCAGTTGTTGTTTAACAAGTAGAAATCTGCCTCTTTTCTTCATGTAAAAGGCATCTGTTTTAACGGGCGTTCCACTTCGTTTGCGTGCTTCTTACAAAGGCCGTGCGATCTCAAGGGGAAAGCTGGTGATTGAAGTTTCATACTTTTGGATGGCGTATTCACTCCGAGACATATGACCTTTGTGATGAGACGACTTGTCCTTATTAAGAGATATGGAGAAGATTACATATTAGGTAATCTTTTCGAATTTTCTCCATATCTCTTAATAGTCCTGTGACAATGAGAGATTTTGTGGTCTCACACTCGCAAGTTCTTCCCGGATACACGCCACCTGTAAGTTGATTTACTTGATCCATGGTTTTGATCATTTGCTAAGTTAAAGAATTTTGCAAGTGAGACATACCGATGCATCGCGGTTTTCTACCATGTATTCGAATTTTGTTACCCTTTCGGTATCGTTAGCCTCGTTTTACTGACTCGGGCATGGAACGGAATCAAGAACTTAATGTAAGATTACAATTCTTAAGCTTCTTAAGTCATGATCAACCATATGATCAATCATAATGCATAAATAAATTGATACTGAATCGCATCATATACCTCTGACCATTGATGTATCGTTGTAGAAATGGACCGAAATTTTAGATCTTCTAAACCTACGTTAATATATGACCGGGTCTAATGGAAGTTTTAAAACAGTAAACTTCCAACAATAGGAAGTCCTACACTTAAAAAGTCTTGTATTTCTGCATGACAAGCTCTTTCTTTCTTGTAGGTTCTTCATATGCTTGATGCAGACGAGGAGCATGCATCAAGTTTTCATTCAGACAGTCAAGCAATTCGTTAATTACTTTTAATAAATAAATCAAACCCGTTTATACATTTTCATTACCTTAACCCATTTATACATTTTCAATTATACAAATTTATTCTGTTCTATAATAATTGTCTGAAATAAGAACCAATGTTAATCGGTTAGATTTGGTTCGGTTTTAGTGTTGGTTCGGATCAGTTCAGTACCACATAAGAACCAAAACTTGATATATTGCATATAAATCTATATATAGGGGAAACTCCCGGTGAGTTGGCAAGGAGTATGATCAACATACCGAGAGGTTGAGGGTTCGGCTCTTGAATTAAAAAATCGCGCATGGTTTGCGCCTAAGGCGCACAAGCGCAAAGGAAATCGCATCATGTTATAAAAATAAGGCACTCAACAGAAGGCGGTAGAGAGGTGCGCCTTATGACGCGTGAAGCGTGAAGCGTGACGCGTCGCTTTTTTGGTAGCAATTAAAGAGATTAAAGAGTGTTGAATAATATTAAAGTATTTCCTCGTAAATCTGTAAAAAGACTCCGAATAAAACAAAAAAAATTCGGTCAATTTGTCATAATAGATATTGACTACAATTAATTGTTATATAATATATATATATAGTAGCTATTGCTTCACGTCGTGAACATGTGCTTTTTTTTCTGTTTCGCGTTAAAAAAGAAAGACAAACACTTCTTTTCTCAATTGCTTGAGAGTTTTGTAGACAAGTGGCTCATTTTTTTCTCCATTGCTTGATAGGTATGTAGTGTAGATTTTATTTTCTATTTTTCATATAATAAAATATGTTCACATATAATAATTATGTATATCACTGAGTATAGATTTTCTATTCAAACTATTTGCTGATGGAGTGCGTGGATTTTTTAAAAATCGTGTAATGCCTCGTATATATGTTCAAGTTTGTTTATATAAATCTTTTAATAATTATGTTTTCTTTTTATTTTCTAGTGATTCTAGTAATGGATTCGGGAAACAGTTCGGGAAAATATACCACAAATATTTCTGACCCAGCGCGAAAGTATGGTACTCCAAATCCTAGTAATCGAAATAATTTTTTATGCAATTTCTGTCAAAAAGTTACTAAAGGAGGAGTTTATCGGTTGAAACAACATTTAGTTGGAGGATTTAGAAATGTGATCAAATGTTCTCGTTGTCCCGAGCATGTGAAAATAGAAATATCAGATTTTATGGAGAAAAAAACATCTTTAAAGATTGAAAGTCAAATGATACCTCGTGAATTTGAACTGGTTGGTGACTTGAATGGGGAAGAAGAGGGAGCTTTTGTCAACAAAAAACAAAGAACAAAGGGGCCAATGGATATGTTTTCAATCCTAAAACTGATCCGAAGAAAGATGGGAATGAAGTCTATAAAGCCATTGACAAGAAGCTCAGGGAGAAAACTTGCAGGTCAATAGCAAGATTTTTTTACGATAATGGAATTCCGTTCAATGCAGCTACCAGCCCAAGTTATGCAGAAATGTGGGAATCTATTGGACAATACGGTCCAGGGTTGAAACCACCATCCATGTATGAATAATTAAGAGTTCCACTTCTTGTTCAAGAAGTAAGTGATACAGAGGTATATTTGAATGAGCACAAGAAGGAGTGGGCACAAAAGGATTGCTCAATTTTATCGGACGGGTGGCGTGATTCGATTGCTAATAAGGATATCGTAAACTTTCTTGTTAACTCTCCAAAAGGTTCGGTTTTCCTTAAATCAATTGATGTCTCAGAAATTGTAAAAGATGCCAATTTATTATATCATTTGCTTGATGAGATTGTCGAGGGAGTGGGCGAGAAAAATGTGATCCAAGTGGTGATAGATAATGCTTCTAATTATGTCAAAGCAGGTAAACATTTTTTTTATTTTTTAGTTTTATTTATCTAAATATTTTTAATAATATTTTTTGTTAACTTGTAGGAAAATTGCTTGAAGCAAAACGATCACATATTTTTTGGACTCCGTGTGCAACACATTGCATCGATCTCATGTTGAAGATATCGGAAAAATTCCAAAGATAAAAAATGCAATAAAGAAGTGCATGCACATGAATGGCTATATATATAATCATGTTCCGCTTGTGAACATGATGAGGCGATTTACAAGTCAAAGAAATTTGTATAGGCCCACAATCACCAGGTTTGCTATATCATTCATCACTCTTTCGCAGTACCACAAACAAAAAAATAATTTGAGGAAAATGATTACTTCATAAGAATGGAACGAATCCAAGTGGTCAAAAGAAACGGGAGGTAGAAGATTGACAACATATCTTTTGCAAGAGAGTTTTTGGAGGGATGTGCTTTATGCTCTTAAGTTGACAGGACCTCTTGTTAAGGTTCTCAGGATTGTTGACGGAGAGAAAAAACCACCGATGGGTTATATTTATGTAGCCATGGATAGAGCTAAAGAGACAATTGCTTCGAGTTTTAGATTGAAAGAGGAGCATTACAGTGAAACATTTGAGTATATTGATAGAAGATGGGAATGCCAACTTCATCGATCTTTGCATGCAGCCGGTTATTTTCTAAACCCAAGTCTCCATTATGATAATCCAGACGCAACTTGTGAAGAAGTTATGAAGGATATCTACGAGTGTATTTCCAGATTGTCGCATTCTTTCGATACGGAAAATCTAATAATAAAAGAATTAGCAGAATATAGATCTGCAAATGGTCTATTTGGTTTACCGGCAGCCATTAGACTAAGGAATACACAATCTCCAGGTATCAAATTTTAAAATTTAAGATATATATTATATTACTTGTGTTATATTAGGAATTACTAACATTTTTTTTTTTACA